GATCACAAAAAATACAATTGAGATGAGATTTGACTTTTTCAGATTGAAACTAACAACTTCACACAAATGTGTCACAAAGGATCCTAATTTTTAATGCTGTGATTGGTTATGGTGTCACTTTTAATGGTACTATGCAGTCTTAAGTGTTTTTATTTTAGAAACATTATTAAAAAAAATGTTTATCCTAAAATAATCTGTTTAGTTTATAGACATTTCCTTTAACCCTAAAACACAATGCAATGCAATGCATAATTCAAAATACGGGTAAAACACCTGTGAAATCAATACGGAAAATTCCTTCATATTAACACTATTTTTATGAACTTTTCTTAAAGTGGACATTCCCATAAATCCCTGCATGACAAATTATATATGATTATATTTTATATAATTAATTTGTTTCTTCTCATTTTTTTTTTTTTACTAGCACATCATATTACGAACAAAGATGTCAATCTCTACTCACAAATGAGTAAATGAATGCCCATATCTACTACACAAATAAAACAGAAGTTCAATTCCAAACATCATCTCTTCAGGATCAAACTCAAATTCAGTTTCAGTCATTAGCTCCCTCACTTGCATACTAGAGGGGAAAAAAGGAAAACCATAAACCAAAAGGAGAGGAGCAGCAGTATGCCTCCATGAAATGTGTGAACCGTGAAATTAAATAGTTCATTGTACACAAAGCACCGCCTGAAAAAGTATAACAAAATGACTCTCCCTCAGAAAAACTGTTTATTTATACCAAACTTGCAGGCACTGCTATTAAAGGTCAAAAGCAAATACTTATTTTAGTTTTATCCTCCACTATAATAAACCCATGAGTAGATTATATATGGATAGCTACACTGAATTAAAGGGAATCTTATCTGATTACAGAATAATGAAATGCCTCAAATTCAGTTTAGATCATGGATTACGTGAATCACTTTGTCGATACAAAATGGTGCCAGTTCTGATATATGTGAAGAAAGCTGTACTATTTCTAGCAGCAGACTTCACTTCCAGCCACTGCAGTCGTTGATCTCTTCTGAGGAGAAACTGGCGTGAATAAACGTGACTGAATGAGGACGGACTGAAATAGCGTTACTGAAGATCAGATCGACACATCTCAGACACTATCCTGTAGGAGAGGAGCAGCAGTATGCCTCCATGAAATGTGTGAACCGTGAAATGAAATAGTTCATTGTACACAAAGCACCACCTGAAAAAGTATAACAAAATGACTCTCCCTCAGAAAAACTGTTTATTTATACCAAACTTGCAGGCACTATAGTCTGTGCTATTAAAGGTCAAAAGCAAATACTTATTTTAGTTTTATCCTCCACTATAATAAACCCAGGAGTAGATTATATATGGATAGCTACACTGAATTAAAGGGAATCTTATTTGATTACAGAATAATGAAATGCCTCAAATTCAGTTTAGATCATGGATTACGTGAATCACTTTGTCGATACAAAATGGTGCCAGTTCTGATATATGTGAAGAAAGCTGTACTATTTCTAGCAGCAGACTTCACTTCCAGCCACTGCAGTCGTTGATCTCTTCTGAGGAGAAACTGGCGTGAATAAACGTGACTGAATGAGGACGGACTGAAATAGCGTTACTGAAGATCAGATCAACACATCTCAGACACTATCCTGTGAATTACACATTAATCACTCCTGTGGTTGATGTTCATGAGAGAGAGGGACACATGGGAGGAATGAAATATGCAATGTAGGATACATACAAATGAACAGTTACAATATTCAAAATACACAGCTATTTGTCTCGCTACTGACAGAGAGATGGGGGAGATATGTATGAAATAAGAGGCCAGCAATAAAGCAATAATGAAATCCTATAATTTAGCCTAATGGGGGCGTTCACACAAGGACGCGTTCTTGCGTTCCCTCTGCGTTTACTTTTTTCCGAAGTGTTGCACTATCAATTTTATATTTTTAAGACGTGTGTAATCAGAAGTAGTAACCTACTTAAAATACTTTTTTACAAGCCAACAACAAGTTCGAGTTTCGAGTCACGATTAATAACTTGCAGTTCAGCACAGCTATTTGTCTCGCTACTGACAGAGAGATGGAGGAGATATGTATGAAATAAGAGGCCAGCAATAAAGCAATAATGAAATCCTATAATTTAGCCTAATGGGGGCATTCACACAAGGACGCGTTCTTGCGTTCCCTCTGCGTTTACTTTTTTCCGAAGTGTTGCACTATCAATTTAGAGTTAGATCTGGATCCAACCACGCCCCCTGGATATGGTGTTGTGCAGTGAGGACCATCTCGTAACAACCGTTCTGTGGTTTAACCAGTTAATTTGAGTCATTCGTTCAGAAATCAGACTCTACTGTCATATGTTTGCGGTCAACTTAAAAGACTCGTTTTATAGGAATAATATGTTCGAGAATCGAACTTGGCCGTGCTGTATTTTGATTCCCTAAAAAAGTCTCATAAGCATCCTTTGTTCGGGAACCGAACTAGAATGTATTTGCTTGATTGATTCACTAAAAGAATTTGCGTTTAAAGGGGTCATATGATGCTTTTTTAAAGATCATTATTTTGTGTATTTGGTGTAACAGAATATGTTGACATGCTTTAATGTTCAAAAAACACATTATTTTTCAAATACTGTACATTATTGTAGG